TGATGGAGAGAGCTCTGCTGTTTCCTAGAAGGAATCCCTCTCAGCATCCCAGCTTTCTTCAGCCAGTGAGAGGAAGGAAGGAAGGAAGGAAGGAAGGAAGGAAGGAAGGAAGGAAGGAAGGCAGTTTCTAAAGGGGCACAGTGGATGTTTGCAACAGGCAGCTGGGTCAGGCTGGAAAAGGGGAGAGGGTGAAGAAAAAGGCCCAGCGAGAGAGAATGACGTCAGTGACTGAATTGAGGAGGAAAACACGGCGGGGGGAGGGGGAGAAGAGGTCTACTCTGGAGCTGAACAGAGAAAGGGGAGGCAAAGCCAGCCAAGGCTAACAACGCTGTGACGTGCACATGACAGGCTGCCACGCAAAATGGTGACAATCTCCCTTTGGCGGGGGCTGAAGCCGCACCAGGGAAAAGGAGGAAAACATCCCATGGGAGAGTGGGGTGCGTGTGGGTAGAGAAATACATCGAGAGCTGTGCAAGGAAAAGGGGGCATCGGGGGCCGGTGGGGGGAGGGGGAACCAGCACCAACACCCAGCCAGGACCCTAAAGCCCGAGGGAAAATTCTGGAGGATTCAGAGGCGAAGCAAAATAGGGAAAGGGGGTGGGGAGACAGCATTGGGGGGGGGGGAGATGCTCCACTCCATGTTTCCAGCGGAACTGATGCAGACGTGTTACATGGGCTGTTTAAAGAAAACAACAACAGCCAAGGGATCCCCACTTCTCACCGCCTCCCACTGGGAAAGAGCAACCTGCGGGAAGGGTAAGAGCCAAGGGGCCGGCATCTCCCTTCGTTTCCACCACCTTTCCGTCTCCAAGAGCGACCTCCCCCTCCCCAAACCCCCACCATATTTAATAGTCGAAACCCAACCCTCCTCCAAGGATACTTTTCCAATCCCCAGGGCGGAAAGAAATACGGATTTATTCGGGGGCGGGGGGGAAACCAGGACTAGGGAGCTCCAGCGTGCACGAAAAATGGGAAGCGGAGCTCCAGGCTGCCATATGGAAGCGAAGGGGCTGCCCCTAATCTCTGCCAGCCGGGAAGGAAGGAGCTCCTTGGCTCCTCCAAGTCCCCCCCCCCCCGTTCACCCCGCCCACTCCAGTTCCGAGCATCCCAAGCGAAGAAGCCTTCCCCTTCCCTCTCCGGCGTCCAGAGTCCTACCCTTCTGGCCACCCTCCCTCATTCCCGCCCGCTTGCATCCTCCTCCTCGCCACCCCAGGTGATCCATCTCACCGTGCAGCACTTGCAGCGGGCGATCCGCGGCAGCGCCGGCCCCGAGGAGCGGCAGCAGCGAGAGGAAGAAACAGCCGAGCGCCCGGAGCAGGCTCCGCCACCGCCCCATGCCAGCCGGTGCCCCCGCGCTCACAACCCAGGCAGCCGCCGCCTCCACGGCCGCTGCACCATCCTTAACCCGGCAATCAGCGCCCCCTCCAGGCCGAGACAAGGACGCGCACCTCCAACCAGCCAATCTCAATGAGCATGCAAAGCACACTCTGGGGCCCCAGTGACCTATCGCAAAGCAGGGAAAGGACACGCCTCCACAGGGAAAGCCAATAATAAAAAAGCCACGGCCACACCCTGCTTGGGGGGAAAAAAGTTACGCCTCCCTATTACACGAGAGGCCACGCCCCTCTCGCCTCGTATTATACTCGCCGCATTCTCAAATCCATGTTCTGCCTCCGACCAGTCGCACCGACTTCGCCAGGCAAGGCTGGCACACACCCCTCGCTGCTGATGCATTAAGTTTCACCAATCGCTCCGTTAGCGGAGGCAGTTGAATTACACCTCCTGCAGGCAGGCGCAGCCACAGTCTGGGGTTTGGCCACATTCCACTGAAATCACCACCACGATCCCCCCAAAGAGAGCGGCAACCAAAAATAGCTGTGTGTGACACGCTCGGTTATAAATCGGCAGTGCCTCTTTTTCTACCTGAATGGGGAAGGGAGGCTAAGAAAACTGAATCCATGGGGGCTTTCCTATATGTCGTTTTTCCTATAGGTCCAAAGCTCCCGCTCTTCACTCAAAAGGAATGATACAGGGGACTCCGCAAGGCAGCATTATGTCATTCCACTCTCACGTGATCCACAGACTTCTGCATATATCCTTGAGGATTCCTGCCAGATGGATTGTGCAGAATCGACCCTCTCTCCGTTGGTAGGGTAAAGCAGATCTCTAGATGATTTGCAAGCCAGCAAGGAGGTCTGGCTCCCAACTACTTAATAGCAGCTATGGGCAATGAGGGTGTGAGTCTGTCTCTGTGTGTGTGTGTGTGTGTGTGTGTGTGTGTGTGAGAGAGAGAGAGAGAGAGAGAGAGAGAGAGAGAGAGAGAGAGAGCACAGGTGCATTCACACTCTTCCAGCATGACTCTTCTTAATATGCTCTCTGGCTTCTAGAGGCCTGCACAATCATAGTAAACACATTTCCCCTAAAAATGGCCAGTAGTAAAATGGCTTAATAGACCTATTTGCCGCTTTCAGAAGGAATGCCACCAACAAAAGTGAGTGGCCCCCTTGCCTTCCTGATGCAACCTCATTAAAAAGTGACCTATGGATTCATTTTGCAAATAAAAGACTGCACCAGAAACAAGAGCACTTCTCAAAAGCAGAGCATGTGCACTTGATTCAAGGCCAGTCATCACACACTCTCCTCACCAGTTCCAATAAAACAGGAAAGGCCCAATGCACTTACTAGAGGGGCTAAGCCAGAACAACAGCTGTTGTATTGAAGAGCCAGTGTTAAGTGCTCCTGCCAACTTTCAATACAGAACAGCTCCAACCCAAAAGATGCAAGTTTAGGCTCTTGTGACAAAATAACCTCAAGCAAATTCACACGGTTCTGCCGTATTTTTTTGGCATTCCACAACAACAACTTTCATAGGTTAATTTAGTGGTTAAGGGGCAGCAGGAAGAGGGAAATGCTATTTGCTCATTTCAGCTGGTACCTCCTCACATGCTGTAGTAATACAGTGGTACCTCGGGTTACATACGCTTCAGGTTACATATGCTTCAGGTTACAGACTCCGCTAACCCAGAAATAGTACCTTGGGTTAAGAACTTTGCTTCAGGATGAGAACAGAAATCGCGCGGTGGCATGGCAGCAGCGGGAGGCCCCATTAGCTAAAGTGGTGCTCAGGTTAAGAACAGTTTTGGGTTAAGAACGGACCTCCGGAACGAATTAAGTACTTAACCCAGATACCACTGTAAAGCTGTTTACTTTTTCAAACTCCCTGTGTCTTTCTATAGAACTAGAAACTAGAGCAGCATACAACAAGACTGCCTCTTTTTTTTGTTTCCCTACAATTTTGTCATAGTTGGAAGAACATGTTTCACCATCAACTGGAGGACTATATAGCAGGCAAGATATTGCTTGTGTGCCATCTAGGAAATGGGGATATGGAAATAGAAGTTAGGGGCACAACTAAAAAGCATGAAGTTTTTGCAAATGGAAATGTTTGATTCTGCCGTGGAAGACAGCGTGTCGACTGTTTGGGTCAAGGATCAGACAAGAGACCCAATTCTTGCCCAGGGGCTGCCACTGCTGGCATTTGCCACTGGAAAAAAGATGCCTTCCACATAGAGCAGTGATAGGTAGGAACCTCAGATTTGGGGGCTGAATGCAGCCCTCCAAGCCTCTTTATCTGGCCCTCCTGATTCTTCTCATGCCACATCCCTCAATGGCTCTGCTCTTTCCTGGCAGCAATGTGTCCCTGACCTGTGACCATGCCCCTGGCTTGTCTGGATGCAGATGCGGGATGGGTGGAAGGTGTATGTAAACACTTCTGATTTTACGGTACAAAGGTTAAAAATCACACCTGTTGCTCCCCACACTTTTGCCTCTGACACCACCCATCACAGACACGCATCCACAGGCGGCTGCCATTGAGCAAACAGAGGCCTCCAGCTGAAAAGGTTCCTCACTACACCATGCATGGCGACACTGCAGTCAGCTTCTTGTGTTATTCCCTTCCAACAGAACACCTGAAGGAGAAACTATGGGGGTATTAAGCAAATGGTACAAGACTGGAGGAAGGTGACCAAATTGACAAGGCAGCCATGTCTGTGTCTTTTCTGTCCACTTTTCATTAACACCACTTGTCCAGATTAGAGCTAAAACCACAGGCTCTGCTAAAGACAGGCACGTATTGTTTGATGATGCTTTGAACCTCCAGTCACTATTTTAGATTAGAACGGTCAATCCTCCGCCCTGATATGGAGAGCTGGGAAGCCCATATTCCTACTTCCCAGGACCAGGCCTGCATAGGGGCTGAGGGCACTTTCAGACTATCAGTATTTTCAGATTGGATTCAACCAAATAGTGGGAAACTCTGGCTGCACAATTACAGTGGACCAGGACATCCTGCATCACAAACCTCCTTCTCCTAAAGGCTATGCTCTTTGTAATAAGGAAAGTGATGGGAAAATGCACAGCAAAGTGTGGGATAACACTTGAATTGATGCAATGTCATCTAACCTCCTTGCAAACAATTCAGGAGGAATGCTCAGTGAACAAGTCTTCTGGAGCTCCCTGAGTAAGGAGATTCCATTCATTGGTATCTTAGGGCTGCCATACAGCCAGAATTTCCTGGAAATTGCTGGGAATTGGCTGTCAAAAACAGTGTCCAGGTGGAATTATCTGGGAAAATCAGAACGTACGTCAACCCAATTTTTGTGTCCGGATTTTCACTTTTGAAATATGGCAACTCTATGGTATCTAGGCAGCCAAGTTTCTGGGGATTCCCTCATCCATGGCAAGATAAAATAATTCTTCCCCCCCCCCCCAGCTACTAGAATTATGGATAGAAAATGGTGCTGAACAGTGCATTCCCACAAACGTAATCTACCTGGTGTGATCTTGTGTACTTGCCTGTGTATATTATGCCTCTCAGACATTGCTTGCTTGGCAGCTAGTATCTCTCATTGACATTTTGAGAGAGGCACTTCACACAGGGCGGTAGCTAATTTAGAACCCAACCAAGTGAATGAGCAAAGGATGTGGGAGTGGGATGATCCAATTAAAAGTATGCATCACTTGGCATTTATTCAATGCTGGAATTTCACCCATAATTTCAGTGCCCACTTAAAGCACCAAGATGACTGTAGATAGCCCTTTAACATGTCATTATCTTGAATAAAGTTTTCTTTCAGCTATGAAGGAGCGAGGATGAGCTGTTCTATGGCACAGGCTCCCTGGATCAGGCCCTCCTGGCTGTACGCAAGCCTCAAATGCCCAGCCTCTTTTGGAAAATGATTGCAGAGGGGGGGGGGGAAGATGCAACTCTCCAGAAGCAGTCGTTCCATGAGCCGCTGTACAACATGTGCCTTAATTGCTATCTGGCCAGGGAGAGGGGGCGTTAGCCGCTTCCTGTGCTTGAGATGCTCTTCAGTTGCTCAGCAGTCCCTGATCCAGCACTGGGAACAGCTCAAAGAAGGCCTGGGAAAGAAGGAAGGAAGAAAGGAAGGAAGGAGGAGAGAAAGAGGAGGAAGAGTCAGGTTTGGTGGGGGAAGAACAACCCTCGGGGGGGGGCAGCTGTCAAACACACACATATGATGGCGTCACCATGGCAGCAGGAGAATCGTGAGGCACCATGTTGCCACAGAAACCGATCACCGACTGGAGGGCACCATCGTTGCCATGGTAACATACAGACAAGATTACAAGGAAGAGATAGGGAGTGGGCGGCAGCAGGGCTCAACCTGCAACCCGGGGTGGGGAAGATAGTGACCTCGATATGTATGGAAACCTTGTTCCTGTCTGCCAAGCTCTTCTCACACTTTGTGCCCCCCTCCTCCCCAAACAATACATAGGGCCAGAGGGAAAGCTCTCTGTTTACGTTGCCCTTCCCTCTTTCCTGGTCTGCTCCCAACCGTACAGCCAAGGCCCGTGACAAGAGTGTTTCTTTGCTAAGGGGATACTCCTCTCTCACACCATTCAGGCTTCCTCAGTCTAGCCTAACTCACAGGGTTGTTGTGAGGACAACCTGGGAAAGGGGTGGGTGGGAGACCAGGGCACACACCCACACCCTGGGAGGCAACAGAAAACAGCTCCGCTCAATGCAAACGCTTTCCCTCTGCCCCACCTGAGCTGCCACCCACCTTGAAGAGAGTGATGGACTGCAGGACGCTGGAAGTGCAGCACATCTCGCGGATGGAGTGCATGGCCAGCTGCGGGGAGCCCATGTCCAGGACGCGCAAGCCAAGGCGGGAGGCCAAGATGGGCCCAATGGTGCTGCCGCAGGGAGAGTCATTCCGAACCATGAATTCCTGCAATAGGCAAATGAATTTTCTCTTAAGGCTCTTGAGCAGCTGATTTGGCCTTGACACTGTCCAGGGGTTGGGGACTCCCTTTAGCTGTTGGACAAGGCCATTAAGAAGGGCGGCCAGATATGGATCTACCGAGCGTCGAGGATGGGAGTGGAGGAGGTCTTTGGGGAGAAGGCTCTGGGCACCTATGCGCACAACCCCAGCATCAAGAGACAGCCATGGGGTGGAAATGCTTCAACACTCCACAGACCTTAAAACCCAAGAAGGAACAGCCAGGGGTTGGAGAGAGAAGGAAGCAGAAAAAACCCATCTTCAGATAAGGAGTAAGGCCTTCTCCATAGCATTTAATCCTGAAGGCCCACCATTTCTGGTCCCATCTCCCGCCCCCAACGGCAGATGGAGCATCTTGCCCCATTGGTCCCTGGCTGCAGAATCTACAGTACAGGGACATAGCCCTTATGTATTTCCCTACGCTGGCCGATCCAAACTCACCCTCTAGTGGCCACAGTCATTAAGTGCAATGGGAAAGCTTGGGAATAGCTCTTGAGGTAGAGTGGAACAATGCTTACTTGCAGGGGGACGTCCACACGGCTGGCAATTTCTCGGATCAGGGCCTCGGTGACAGCAGTAGAGGCATAGCGCTGGTTGCTGTTCACTTTTATTGTAGGGCCCTGCATGAGAAACCAGAGGATTCAGAAAAAAAGATGTACTAAGAAAGGAGATGTGGTCTGCACACATCAAGAACATAAAGCTTTGCTTCCCGAAACATGAGCTGCAACAGAAAGAAGGCGGCGTGGAAGCCAAAAGGAACCACTGGAAAGCAGAGACCTACCCCATGGTAATCTTGCCCCAGAATAATGCAGTAGTTCTATGTATCCCACACAGAAACAAGCATAGGCCTGAGTCTTCCTTTGGAAGACTCCCTCTGCTCTTCTGGCTTGTGGGATCAGGAGATGAGCAACTGCCTTGAGCCCCCCAGCCATGGGATGGGACCAATGCTTGGCACCAGACACCCAAAGTCCCAGAACAAGCCCCCTGCCCCACTAAATACAACAACAGAAAAATCCACTGGCATAATCATTCCTTCCATCTACCATAGCTAGGTGTGAGTGTCATTGCTTATGTAGGCAAAACAGCACCACTACCCCAATACAAAATCTTAAGGGGCTTAGGCAAGCAAGTTTGCAGAAGTACTACAATATTTTTATTTTGGGGGAGGAATACCCAAAAGCCAAAGGAGGATTGAGCATGCTCAGTGGGCACATGATAATAATGGGCGAGGGGGAATGAAATGAAACACCCCATCAGAATGGCAGGGGCAGCTGGCTGCTTCCAGAACAGGAGCACTGCACACTACAATATTCTGTTGCAGCTCCAGCCTGTAAGGTATACATCACAAATATTGTAAAGGGCAGGACTGTAACTAACATGTTGTTTCCAGCAATTGAATAACCTTTGCCATACTTCTCAACATCTAGGCCAAGGGAGCAAAAGCAAATCCCCCACCCCAGGATCTCTGAAAGCTCATTCTTACATTCAGAGGCAAAGATTTGTGTATTAAAAACCAATGTTATCAGGTCTTAAAGAATTAACTTCAGTTTCAGGAGTAAGTTTTGCTACCTCCCCCGTTCAACTTGCGCTGAGGACGACTCTGCTACTGCTTGCAGAGAGTCTGCCTTAGTTTTCCACATTTTATTGTTGCCACGTGGCCCTGTCACCTACCTTGTGGAACTCTGGACGGTGGTTCTTATCGTGCTTGTCGCTGTAAAAGGGAGCATCAAATTAGACCCTGGCCAAGTAGATCCCAAACTCTTAGAAACATGAGGCTGAATTTCGAAGAAGAGACAGTGGAATGAAACTAAGAAGAGATGTGGTGTTATTTCAATGCCTGGGAGCAATTTCAAAAGAAGCAGGGGTTTTTTTTGGGGGGTGGCAGAGTGGCGCTCCTGATGTGTCAGTGAGAACACCTGTATGCAGATTTATGCACAAAGGACTTTTATTAGAGTGGAGACAGGCATTCTGGGGAAGAGGAGCACTGCCATATGCCAGTGGCAGGATGAGAAAGACCCTCTTGACAGTGATGCCTAAGAGCTGCATCTAGCCCAAGGGCACCATTTGCCAGGGGGCAGATTCAGCGCTGGGTACATCATCTGGAACAAGTACAAGCCAAACTCGGAAGGCAGAAGAGCACCTCCATTTTCTGACTTTCAGCATACGCTGCCTTTGACACTGCCAAACTGTTTTCTAGGGCCATGAGGCCTGGGAGAGAGAAAGTGCATTTGTCGGGGAAGGCTGAACATAACTACTGGTTCTGCCTCAATCCATGTCCTTTGCCAAAACGCTACCCCTGAGGGTGGTTCCAGATGTTGCAGGACGACAACTCCCGTCATCCCTGACCACCAGCCATGCTGGCTGGGGCTAATGGGATTTGGAGTCCAACAATGTCTGCAGAGGTGGGGGGGGGGCAGATTCTCCAGTTCTGCTATGGAGGGGTCCAAGGCCCAGGACCTCTGCTCAACAGTTTAGGGAGCCTTACTCCCTTGTTATAATTGAGGGGAAGGCCTTTAAATCGATGACTTGGATTTTGCAGATTAGCCTATACTGATAAAGAAATGTTTCTGACCTCAGGATTTTCAAGTTTGAGAGTTGGTAAGTCAGACAGCTTGCATTTCTATCCTGCAGTTTTAAGTGTCAAAAAAATTTGTTTATAAAACCATGAGGACTGGATTTTATTTTATTTTTAATGAAAGCTGGGCCTCTTTGAAAGCCGAATTCCACAAGAGATGCCAACTTTTCAGCTTGTACCGCAATCCAGCAAATTCACAGCAGAATGCCTAATATTTAGTAAAATACTTGCTAAACCCTCATGCATTTCTTCCTGCTGGGCACAGCAACATACTCACGCATAATTGGGGTGCACGGCATGGGCCATGTCAGCACTGATCATGCAGGACTTTGGCATGGCTTCCTCAAAGGCTGTCAAGTTCTGGGGCGAAGCAGAGATGCGCCGAAGGACAAGTTCCGTGAGGAGCGAACCAGCCCCCTGTGCACTCTGGGAACCAACCTGCCAGGTAAGTCAAGTCAAGTCAGTAAAGGAGCCGGCAAGAAGAGCTTTTTTAACCCAGAAATATTCCACCTCCCATCACAGTGTGGTGCAGAAGTTCGGAATGCTGGCTGATGATGGGTGTGGGGAACCTTTGCCCCTCTAGATGCTGCTGATATACAGCCCCCATCAAGCGGGGGCAATGGTCAAGGACAACAGGAGTCGTAGCTCAGCAACATCTGGAGGAGCAAACATTTCCCACCCCTGGACTGGGACCTGGAAGACGAGGGCTCAAATCACCGCTCAACCAGCAAGGTTGATGGGTGAGCTTGGGCCAGTCCCTCTCAGCTGAGCCTACTTCACAGGATGAAATGGAGACAGGGAGAAGCAGGAATGCCATCCTTGAGCTCCTTAGAAGAAAGGTGTTGCATAAATGAATTAATAATGTTTCAGAGAGCAGACCTGTTGCTGCCCCTTAATTTCTCATAACATTTCCCCTCATCATCTATCAAACCATCAGGTGGAGCCACTCTCCAAATAATAATATTCATCTAATGCTCAGAACAGGATTTCACTTTCCACTTCTGCAGCAACATAGGAGGCTGCCTTATACCAAGTCAGACCACTGATCCATCTAGCTCAGTATTGTCTACACTGATTAGGAGCAGTTCTCCTGCCTGGAGATGCCGGGGATTGAACCTGGGACCTTCTGCATGAAAAGCAGATGCTCTACCCCTGGGCTATGGGCCCTTCCCTCTTTTCTACCCAGAATGTAGCCTTGCCCATCCACAACTGTCTTGTACTGACCTCTTCATTGTCATAAAGTGCAACCAGGCGCACATTTGGTTCTTTGGCAAGAGCTCCAGGCTCTTTGCTGGATTCAATCAGCGCCTATAGAAAAACATAAGGGGACAAGGTTAGGGAGTGCCTAATGGGGCAGGATAGGGAGTGCCCTGGGACAGAAATATTTGCTACTGGTCTATGCGTTGCTATCTTGTGAGCCAACTTCTTAAAGAAACCATGTCAGCGTCTCCTTTCATGTTCTCAGTACGTTAAATTCTGTACTTACAATTGAACTATTTTTCTTTAGTCTGTAGGTTAGATTGGCCTCCATGGCCTGAACGTTTGCAAAGGTTCTCTACTGAGCTGACTTCTTAAAGAGAAGTGCCGGTTTCACTGCAATGCTAGATCGCTTCTGGCACCACAGGAAAGCCTACTTACAGCTTCTGACTAGCTGTCTGTCCCTACCCGCCGCGCCCATCCTAGGTATCTGGGAAAGTATACAAGCTCAGGGACTGTGAGTTTTGTGCTTCCAGCTGTCTTGGGCCTCTGACTACAGCAAATGGAAGGACTCCCTTGGGCTCAACTCTTAAGCTGCAGTCCCATGTCGGAAAGCTGGTGTACTGGGGGAGAAGAGTGTCACCAGGGTAGATAACTGGTGCCTTTATAGTCATTTCACAAAAAGAGAATTTAAAATCATATGCTGCTTCCGCTGTAGTGCAACAGTTCTGGAAAAAGCTGTACCTGTCAATGCCCTACCTTTTGACAAAACTTTACAAAAGACCCATGCCTGATGTTACATAAATAAACATTGCACTTGGCTGCTTCTGACTTTCTCCTCACCCCCCCCCCCCGCCCACTGCATGTGTGGTTTACTTCCATGTAAACCACAGTATTCCATTTCATCTGAGCTGGAACCCTTGTGGTTCTGCATAATCCCTCCAAGATTTGAAATGTTTCTCTACCTGTTGCTACACACAGAGAGAGTCTCAGAGGTATATTTCTGCACACAGCCATTCCCACAAACATAGGAATAGTTTCACCATGCTGGGTCACCCCACCTTTTGGCTGCAAGAGTAACGGGTGATTTTAGTACATGGTGTGGTGTGGGGACGGAATGTGAAACAATAGAGCAAGGGTTAGAAGTAGGTTCTAGGTGATTTCTGGGGGAAACACAAGTTATTAGAGCATATTAGAGGATGGCTCCTTTGCATGGCACTGATGGATCACAGAAGAGGATTCATCTCTGACCCGCCCCCCCCGCCCCCCGAACCGCACAAAGTACTCACCTGCAGGGCACAGTAGCTGCTGTGGAGATTGTCCAGGCGAGGGGAGAAAATGAACTCACTGAAGGCGCCACCTAGTGTCTGGAGGAGGATTCACCAGAAAGAAAAAATCCTGAGCTGGGACCAACCTTTCCCTGGTTCAGTCTGTCTGCCACACACCACACATTCTCCCTGCAGGTTTTGCAAACGGGTTGGAGAGTGGCAGCTGGGATCTTTCCCCAGGAGATGAATGAGAATCTGGAACAAGCATCTCCCTCTACGCCTCTCTCTCTCTCAGACCAAAGGGTGGGGGATCTGTGGTTCTCCTGATGTTGCTAGACTACAACCCCCACCACTGACCATGCTGGCTGGTAGGAAGCTCGCAGGTTCCCCATTGCTGTGCTAAAGGAAAGTTGCATGGAGCTAGAAAATGTAATGAGTTCAACCATGTGACCCTTAGAAAGCTAGCTCTGTCCAAAACCCAAAACCCCACTGCCAACCCCGAATGCACTATTTATTTATTTAATAAAACAGGACACTCACAGGAGGCTGTGTATCCACCAGGCACAACTCCATCTCCACCACCTGCTCCGGTTTCACCTTCAGCTGGGAGCAGAGAAGGGCCAGCAGGGCTGGAGAGTGACGACTCTGTGAGAAAGAAAAGTTGTAAGAAGGTAAAAGAGACATAATCCACTCTGGAAAGCTGCCAATTCTCCCCTTTATTTTGGACCTGCCTACTGTACCTCTCCAGCCAATTCAACAGCATCCTTGTGTCTCTCTCCCCCCCCGCCCCCGGCTGCCTCCCCAGCCTTACCTGGAGAGATGAGGTACAAGCTGTGTCTGTCTTGGACGTCTTCTTTTCCAGGGCCTCCTGGACTTCTGTGGCCAGAATTGGGACCCTGGGAACGGCAGGTGCGTTGGCTGTTTAACTGGCTTGCTCATTATTGCTGCTTCCTGGGAAATTTGGCTCCAAGAAGCAGCTGGAGCCCACGGAGCCACCAAGACCCAACAGCACAAAACACTTCCAAAGAAGCCACTTGGTGAAAGTCAGCCCCTCAGCAGAGCAAGAAACTCTGTAACTATGCCTCACCTTTTTTTCTCAGGGAACATCTCCTCCCATTGCCATCACATCCCCTCCCATCATATTGGTGGCATGGTCCTGGTACCCAACAGCCAAGTGCTGGGGGACCTGTGGTCCTCTAGACCAGGGGTGGAGAACTGGATCCAGCCAGCAGCCTGGATCCTTATCATCTCCAGGGGCCAAGTTTGACATGCTGGCAGGGCCGCCTCATTGTCAACCACCTGGTGTCACAACGATGTCAGGTGGGCCACTTTCTTGCTTGTGCGGTACATGAAGCTTTGAAGTCCTGAGAATCAGCTGAGCGTCAGGGTTCCAGCACACTATGCACAGCTCTGTGCAAGCACCACCTGATTGTTGGGGCTGGCACAGAGCCATGCAAGGAGCTATGCACAAGGCTTGGCAGGTGATGCTGATCACACAGGCCAGGTGTAGGGCAGGTGGGTATGGCTTGGTTAAAACTTAGACAGGCACGTGACAAAGACCATCATTTCAGCAGGCATTTTCCACTGGTTTTCTGCTTTTACAATGAATTTTATTATTATTTTTCTCTATAAGGTGTAGTTTTCTTTAAAAACTTATGTACGCTGCTTAGGAATTCTGAACGTTAAGTGGTCTATAAATACTGGAAGTAAAAAAAACCCAAATAAAGATGGGGTGCCAGTAAGCCCTCCAGTCCCAGCCAGTCTGATACGACTTCTACACAGAATCCAGACCAGGGCCTCTCTAGGTAATCCTAAAGCACATAGAAGTATAGTGTCAACATAGAAAGCTGTCATATATACCAACTCAGGTCCACCTAGCTCAGTGCTGTTCAGACTGGCAGTGGCTCTCCAGGGCTTCAGACAGGGACCATTCCCAGCCCCCAGCCCTGGAGATGATGGGGAGCTTGAGCCTGGAACCTTCTGCATGCCAAGCAGATGGTCTTCCTCTGAGCTAAGGTCATTCCCCATCACCCAAGGGGATCAAACTCTGCAGCTGACTCTCTTGCTGAAAGGTAAATGACAGGAGTGCCAACCAGGCCTGCTGCCCCTCGCCCCAACCCACCACGGAATATATGAGCACAGAGGAACAGCAGTTTACACACTCACAGGTGCTGCTCTGTGTTTGGCCCGAAGCTCTCGTTCACATTGCGCTGGAGGTGGATGGCCAGGTGTGGGATGCGGAGGATGGGCTGCTCCACCCACACCAGCTGCTGCTCCAGGCGCCCTGTGGACAGGTCCTGAAATGGAAAACAGAAGGGGGACATCAGTGTAGGGTGTGCGTCATTCTGCCACTTTCACCCACTGGCATAATGTGGGAGAGGGGAGGAACAGGAGAGCAGGATTAAGGCAGCAGCTGGGAGCTAAAGGCTCTCATTGAACCACTGGTCCACCCAGCCTAGTGTTGTCTACACTGACTGGCAGGACTCCTTCGCCGCCCAACTTGTAAATTCCAGAGATCAAACCAGGGATCTAATTGCAAAGCAGGTGATCTTCCACCAAGATATGGCCCTTCTGGAAAATAGAGCTATCATGAACAATCTAACAAAAGTGCCCAGGCGGGGGGGAAAGGCAGCTTTGCAGGGGGGAGAGACTGGAAAAGATTGGACCAATAGTGTAACTTTGTCCATGGTTTCACCAATACTGACAATTAGTGCTTTCAGAGGTAGAGGTAGAGGGGGGGGGTGAATACTTCCCTCCCCCTATGCTGCTGGCTTGGATGAAAATGGGAGATCCTCCCTCCTTTAAAGTTGTTTAAAAACAACAACAAAAGAAGAAGAGATCTGTTTCAGCCCTGAGCGTCTGTCTTTAAGCAACTCAGAAAGAATGCAAAAAAGAGACTCTTGTTCTCAAAATATGCCAACTAAGAGCATTTATGACAGCATTTTAGAACATGAGTTTGGAGGAACTTTTAGAAAGTTTCACATTTCAATTTGGTAAGAGTGTCACCATAACTATGCACCCTTCCATTCCCACTTAATAAATCTTCTGGCCCACACAGACCATGCACCTATGCTTGCAGGAACCTCATCTCCACTTGGTTTAAATTAATGTTTAATTTTACTCTCAGGTAGGTGTAGGTGTGAACAGAATTGCAGAAGGGAACAAAGCCCCAAACATCTTTTTGATCAGAACTTTCATCTCTTCATCGCTTTTGGTTTCAGTCATATTCAAACAAGTACTTTAAAATATGCAAAGTATGGCACACTTTGAACTAGACTCCAGTCCTACTCAAGTGTAGCTAGGCAACCAGCTCCACTGAACACACTCAAGTTTACCAGGGCAGAAAGCACTGATCGGGTAATTCATTAAACAGAAGATTAAAATTGCTGGTTTTTAATAACACTTTTATGGACTTTGTCTCCAGGGAAGGATATTCGCTGTTGGAACCTTTGTTGTGTCTCAGTCTCAATCAAAACAATGCAATGCATGCAGCTTGATTATTCCGCATGATAAACACTTCAGTTTCCTTCATCAAGCACCCTCAGAATATGTCAATTCATGTTAGCATTTAACAAACTACTTAAAAAAAACCCCAAGACAACCAACTAAAATCTTCAGTTTAACAGCATATAATAGCAAGAACCCCAAACGAAAAAAGCAACAACTGGGCAATAAAGCTATCTAGAGTTTGAACTTGTGGAAACTGAGCTATTTCTCACACCTAACCCAGGGCAGTGGTGGAGAGGAAGTAGCCACATTCAAATTTCAGCCATGTGACCCCAAGGTTCTCACATTACTGGAGTGGCAACCGAAGACGTCATGCTGTAGGACAAGACAACATCTGGCCCTCAGATGTTGTTGGGAGTCTCCCAACTTCTGTCAGCCCCAACCAGTGTGGCCAATGATCAGGAATGATGCATGGTGGGAATCCAATGTCATCTGGAAGGCCAAGTTCACCAGTCCTACTGCAGCAGCTCCCAGGCTGCAAAGCAAATATAAGAATAGGCCTTGATGTGCAGGTGATGGAAACTTCAGGCCAATGCAGCCCACCAAAGCTGCCCCATGCCTGGATTTTCCCGGACATTATCTGGATTTCAAATGGGGGGAGAGATTTCCGAAAGGTGGCGCTTTGTCCTGGATCTTAGGCAAGTTCTTTTGGCTCAACAATTTTGGAGGTGTCCTGGTTTTTGAAATATGGCAACCCTACCCACCAAGTCTCTCTATCTGGCCCTTGGTACTCTTCCCTCCTCAGCCATACCCTTTAGTAGGTCTACCTCCTGCCCTCCTTGAGTGTTTCTTCCTAACTGGAATATGTCCTTGTCCTTGTCAGTGTTTGTAAAAAAACAAAAAGAAAGGGTTCTGACCTCCCTTTGTTGCCTCAGCCTGGTCCTCGGACCCTTGTCGGCATAAAAGAGTCCACGAGAAAAGTATCCTTGCAGAGTTTTATTCTTAAAAGTCTTTCTGCAAAAGCGACTGACCAACTGTACACACATCAACACTACCAGCTTTCACTAACCAACCAACCCAACCAACATTTCTCACTCTATATATACGGTGCAGGCCGCTGACTCATGCTGACCCAGCTTTTTAAGCATTAAAGAAAGAGTGGCCACTTTTCAGCCGTGACAGTCCTCTGATAATACCTTGTGGGTGTCTGGATAGAAGATAGAGAGGACTGTGTGTGTGTGTGTGTGTGTGTGTAGAAATTACTCAGCTGTCCAAAGATAAAAACTGCATTAGCTTCTATTATGCACTTTTTGTCTCTGGCCCTCCCCACCCCCACTGGCATGTGGCCCCTGGAAGGCTGTCCAGAAATGAATTTGGCTCTTAGGCTGGCAAGTGTTCCTCACCCCTGCCCTAATGTGACATGGCTGCAATATTGGAGGTAAAGTCAGGTCTCTTCCAGTTGGCAAAACCTAAGCATTGAAGAGCTCCTAAAGTCACATAGTATACACCACAGTGCAGGGCCCCGGCCAGGACTAACCTTGACGATGACTCTTCCTGCAACAGAGAGGTCACGGTCGAACCAGGTGCTCCAGATGCCCCCTCCATATGTCTCCACAGCCACCTGGACTGTACCCTCCTGGCTACGTTTTGAGCAGCGTTTCACCTGGATGACACACAAGGACATTCATATGTATATCCCAACAGCACACACTGAATTAGCTCCTCACATTGTAAGGAACTGACCCAACAAGAAATAGGGCCAGAGTTATTGTCCTAAGAGTGGGTGGCAGCTTTGGATTTTTTGCAGTTACATTCACCGTATACATATATACCAAGTTGTGCACTCAATTGGTTGGTATTCTGTATGCATTTATTTGGTCCATTGCTTTTTCTTTAGTGTTAAAAGATGTATTTCAATAAGTCCAGTTAAAAAATCCCAACCAACAGTTGTTGTTTTTTAAAAAAAGGAGTGGAAGAAAGCAAATCCAAAGGGATGTTGTCCAGACTGCTGCCAGAAGGAGGAAGCAAGTTTATCACAATTCTGCAAACACTGGCAATCCAATAACATAGGCAAAAGGAGCAGCCAAAAACAGTATTTGCAGGGATGGGGAACCTGTGGCCCTCCAGCTTTTGTTGGGAGTCCCACCTCTCACCACGACTACTGGCCATGCTGGTGGGTATTGGGACAGGCCTGCTCACAGAAAGTCAATGCAAAGGGGGAGACGACAAATAATGCAGGACTGAGACAACAGAGGGCTGCAGGAAGGAAGGAATGCTAAAGAGTACCTAGGGGCATGCTAGGCAGTATTGAGGAAAAGGGGGGGGGTTGCTGCTTACCCGCAGACATGGACTGTCTGTGTGGGCTCCAATCAAGCTGAAGCCATTGCCTGGCTGGTACTGTCCCCCAACAGCAAAGGCGATCAATGTCGAGAGGTTTCTGGTCACAAAATACTAGTATGGCGGGGGGAGAGGGGTTAAAGAAAGAGTGGGAGACATCAGTGTTTTACCCAGTTCCCTAGATGGGGTGCCTGGCCGAGGCCTCATCTGGAGCACCCTACTCCTTCTCCCACCACCCCAATTCCCAAATGAGAAAGGGAAGGAAGAAGCCGCTCTCTTTCCCCACCTTTCGGTCAGGCTGGATATCCCAGTGTTCAGTTTCCTTCAGCTCCTGGAAACCAGCCTTAAGCAGGCGGCTCCGACATTCGGCCACCACTGCAGAAGAGGAAAACGCAAGCAGTCATGAAGGGGACATGAAGACACTCACCCCCAGCTGGCCAAGCTGCATGCCCCCAATTTTGGGACAACTGTAATGCTCATCACTTGGGGATAGCCTAAAGCTTCAGCTGATGCAGAATTCTCCTCCCAGAAATTTAACTGGGGACAAGTGCTGGGATCCTGGGATCTCCTTTATCATACCAGCTGCATTGGCTGCTGGTCCATCCCCAAGTTCAATTCAAGGTGCTGGCCATTCTTCAAAGCCCTTTATGGCTTGGGAACATACACCTTCAGGTCTCGCCTCTTCCCAATATGTCTGAGTCCTAAGGTCAGCTGGTAGGTGGTCTTTCACTGGGTGCATTTGTCTTGGTTTTGGGGGTTCACAAGGTCTTTCTCTGCGGCAGCCTCCATACTTGGAATTCACTGTCCCACAAGTTTTGATGACAGAGCTTTGAAAGGCTGGGGTATAGGTAGGTAAACAAATAATGAAATTTCCCCTGGCACATGAGACTCTGAATGATACCCCACATCCCTGCCAAAAAACCAAAATCAGCATGATGCAGCTTAAACTGCACTCACAGGCCTATTTGTACTCTTGAACTCAAGTGTGAGAGTCATATTGTAATGTTATGACCCTGACTTGCTTACCCTACCCTAGCAGCAAGCATAGCCTCAGCTACAAAGCCTTTTGTGGCTTCCCAGCCTCTGCAGGTGAACATCCATGTTACCACACCTTCACAGAAATTATTAGGATTTGCTGCTGCCCCTACACACAGAAGGATAGGCAACTTCTCAGAACACCCTTTGGGTTCAGATGTCCACAGAGAGCAAACAAGAAATGTATTAAGGAAAGCAAGATAAACACATGAGGAAAGGCGAGGCCAGACTGAGCCGAAGAGGGTACAGAGAAAAAGCACTTGTGGTAAATAAATTATCATCTGCACAGGGCTCAAGCATTTGCCCTTCTAAAGCTCCTTCCCTAGAAATGTTTCTTGTGACATCTCTGCACAACAAGCAGAATTAAGTGTGAAACCTTAACAAAGAATGGTGAGTAATATTTAGTGCTAGTCCAGATCAGATCAAGATCCCCTGAAATTAATGGGCATGACTAACTTGGATTCATTTATTTCAGTGGGTTTACTCTGATTAGAATTTAGCTGAATACAAGCCTGAGCTTGTACTTCTGCCCACTGAGCATCCAACACAGTGGAGAAGTTAAACCACCCTCCTCGTATTTTAAAATGCTCCAGTGAACCTCCTTGAATCAAGCAGAACCTGTTTGAGCCTCTACAAGGGAAATGAAACAGATGATTCAATGAATGGCACATTATGCTCACCAAGACTTGCAGATAAGGAACATGTTGCATGCATTAAAGTTCTGCAGAAAATTATGAAAGTGGAATGAAAAGCATCCCATAATCTTCCAAAAGTTTTATTATTAAAAACATTTAAATACCAACTTATCCAGAATTTCAGGTAGTGAACAACCAATTGTATCACAGTACAAATACAGTAAGATGGATGAAAATCCTTAAAAGCTACTCAAGTTACAAGTTAGAAATGATTGGGCAAATAACATTTTCCCCCCTGCCTGGTGCCAAAAAGAGAGCACAAGTACCAGGTAGGGCAATTTAGGAAGGTTGCTCCCAGGGGGACTATAGGCTGATAAAAGCCCTTTATTTTGTTGCTGGATGCCAAACATCTGACACAGTGGTCACCTGGAGAGGTTACATCTACACCATACATTTAAAACACTCATACCACTGTTGTCATTCTAACCCCCTAGGAATCCTGGGAACTGCAATTTGTTAAGGGTGCTGATCTCACAGAACTACAATTCCCAGCACCCATAAACTATAGTTTCCAGGATTCTCCATGAATGTTAAACTGCTATAAGAGTGCTTAATGGTGCAAGTGTGACCACAGTCTCAGCAGAAGATCTTAAAGGTGGGTGCCCTCAGGCTTAAGGGCTGAATGCAGCATCCAAGGTCTCTATCTGGCCCTCAGGCCTTTACCCACTCCACAGCCCTAATGGCTCTGCTTTTTCTTGACTAGAATGCATATACCTCACATTTATTTATTTCTAATATAATTTTATTTTTTATTTTGACAGAGTAATAAGAATAAATAAATAAGAATAAAAATGTGCACCCCACCCCCGAGACCATTCCATGGTAACTATCCAACCTCCCAAAATTTCAACACCTCTTGCGATGGTTTGACCCCTTTCCGTTTTAACAGTATGAATTCTACAAACACTTTCCATATCTGCTCAAATTCATTTCTCCTGCATACAACCCGTCTTACCTTAATAGCACATATTAATATATCATTAATGGCTATATCCCACACCACTTTATACCATTTTCCCATTTTATATCCACCTTGCCCCTTTCCACTTCCTAGCCATAGCTGGCAACTTTTCCCTTGTTTAAAGGGAAATTCCCTTATTCCGAATAGGATTCCTCGCAAGAAAAGGGAAAAGTTGACAGCTATGTTCCTAGCTATAATAACTCGTGCAACTGTCAATAAATTTGTGAGCAAGTCCTTCCCAGCCTGTGAACCTTCCACGCCATCATAAATTGATAATAATGGTACCGCTGGACTTTCGGCCAGCTTTAACCCAGTGATTTCTGTTATCTCCTTATGTACCCTCCGCCCCGCCCCCCTCAAATTGTGCATATTTACACCCCTCACACCGCGCATTTAAAGCACACTGCTTACCCCCCCCCCCAGATTCCTGGGAAGTGTAGTTTACTCCTTCGGAAGAGCTACAATTCCCAACACCCAGTTCCTGGGATTCTTCAGGGGGAAGACATGTGCTTTAAATGCATGGCAGACCTCCCGTTGGAGAAGTACTTCCCGGGCGTGAAGCCCCCGGTCCCGGGCTCCGTCTTACCGTGATAAGGGGAGGGGCTCCGGCTGATAAACTTGAGCAGCTCCTGCGCCGCCTGCTTGGAGCTCGCCTGCGGAAGGAAAGGGAGCGAGTCACGAGGGGGCACCGGAGCAACCCGGCTTCGCCTCTGCGCGGACGCCCCAAGGCCACGAGGCCTCCCGAGAGACCCTCCGCGCTCCTGCCGCCCCCGTCCCTCTCAGCAAAGCCCCCTCAAGCTTATACTACCTGCATAGTTGCCCTGCTCCGGCCCGGCCAAAGAACGAAGCCCGCGCCGCTTCCCTCTCTAGCAAGAACCCACCCCGCCCGGCTGCGCTGGGCCTGCTGGGCCTTGGGAAGGGAAGTGGCGGGCGGAGCCCCCTCTGCAGGCAGCTCTCGGTAGGGCCCGGGACGCCGCTTCAGAGGTCCGCCGCCGGCGCGGAGAGCTGGCCGTAGGTTGCAAACGCGATGCTTGCCGTAATAAGCCACCTTTTCATAGAATCACAGAAGGGACCCGAGGGTCATCTAGTCCAACCCTTCAGTTGGCATAAGTGTGTTCCTGCTCTGTGCAACCAAAGGCCTACCAAGTGCCTTTTTCTGGTGGGACGCATACTCCTAAACATTTTGTGACTCAGTTTGGCCTCATTGAGGGGCAGTATTTCAATATCAGTAAGAAAATGAGAGTACCCCTAAACAATTAAAAAACAAAACAAAACAAAAACCCACTGGTCCCACCCATGACTTTTAAGGCTCCGTTTTCAGCGCGTCTTTGAGTGTTCCACCACTGTAACTTGATGTGTGTCGCCGTCGGCATCGCCGCCAGCGTAAGGAGTCTTGCACCATATCCTATGGCGCAGGGATGGGGAACCTGAAGCCTAGGGTCCATATGCAGCCCTCCAGGTCTCTCTGGCTAGACCCTTCTCACCAATGCCCTCAAGTGCTTTTGCCTTCCAGGAATGTGTCTTTGAATCGTGGTTGCCTAGAGGGAGGGTGCAGAGAAAAATTTGGGGAGTGAGGAAACCTCTGGTTTTTGCATTACTGGAACGTACCCTCCTACACAAAGGTAAGAATCGCATCTGTTGCCCCACATGTGGTCCCCAGAAAGTTGTCGATAAGAGAATATGGCCCTCCAGCTGAAGATTTCCCATCCCTGCTGCAGCCCATCAGCCAGCACAGCTTCAGTGTAGGATTCTGCCCTAAAGCATAGGGAATAATCACATTTGCAGGTGAGATCAAACTCTGTGATTCTATATTCTCTGCATAATGAGGTGTTGGTGCCAGGGCAGGCAATTAGAATGTCTGTTTTGAGAAGAAGGCTGCAATCCTATGCCCACTTACTTGGGAGAAAGCTCTTTTGAACAAGATGGGGCTTACTTCTGAGTAAATATGCATTGGCTTGCTAGGTCAGATTCTCCCTTTGCAATTCTTGTGGTTGTAAGCAGACCTGAATCTGGTGTGGGGACTTGCTTCCTGACACACTCAGTGTTTTTTGCTGTTTTTCTTTAAAATAGAAATCAATTTTCCAGTTGTCACGGTTGCAGAAATAGTGCAGCACAGTATGTGCGAAAGGCTGGGGAAACCATACAGAGAGGTTAGACATGGTGTACCTACATAATGGCAAGTGGCCTGCCTGCCTGTTGTTCTAAACGCGGCTCTCTGTTTAGTTTTGCCTTATCTTAATATCTGTTCCCTCTACTTCAGCACGTATTCCTCTGGCCTTTATAAGCTCATATGAACCTCTCTTTCCTTGTTTACTATCTCGGCATTTGTGAAAACATTGTGCACCCTGCTGTCAGAATAAAATTCATATGCTTTACCAATTAAGTCTATTTCTGAGAAAATAATTCAGCGCCACAGGTTGGAATGAAGATGAATACTGGATTGAAAATACATGCAAATTACTTCAGAGCCCTTATTTTATTATCACTGTTGCATATAGCAATTGAATCTAGATGTGATGTACAGTATATTTTTACCCTCCTTGTTTCTCACAACATTCCTATGAGGTAGGTCCTTTTCAAAATCCCTATTTTGCAAATAAATAACTTGTTTTGAGCAAGTTGGTGCCTTGAGTAGAACTGAAATCCGGGTTTCTCCAAGGTTTCCATCTAGCTCATATCTGCCAGCTCTCCAGCTTTAATGGGGTCACAACACATGTAAGACACGCATGGGTTTCCTTCCCTAAGCAAATGTGCTGGATAGAAGGAGTACCCTTCCCTCAAAGAAGATTTTGACTGATATTGTAGGTCTGAATACTTGGGACATTCTGTAGCTATTCCAGGGGACTTTTGCTATGATGTGCTTTAGTTTACAGTCCCTCTGAATTGTGTTCTAATGGATCTCTGAAGACCTGGCATAGCTCAGTCGGCAGAGCATGAGACTCTTATTCTCAAGGTTGTGGGTTCAAGCCTCACATTGGGTAAAAGATTCCTGCCTTGCAGGGGGTTGGATTAGATGACCCTCATCGTCTCTTCCAACTCTATGATTCTATGGTCACAAGTACATGTACCTGATTTAACTCTTTACAGCCATTGCATATTGTTTCCTCTATGGCTCTTGGTTCAGAGCCTCGGACTGAGCAAACAATTTTTATATCCTGCCTTTCTTTCAAAGAGCTCAATGCAGCCTCACAAAAACCTTGTGAGGTAGATTAAGGTGTGTGAGAGAAAAAATAAACAACTGTTTGACTTTTAGAAGACATCTGAAGACAGCCCTGTTCAAGGAAGTTTTTAATGGTTGATGTTTTATTGTGGTTTTTAATATTTTGTTGGAAGCTGCCCTGAGTGGCTGGGACAAACAAACAAACAAACATGACTGGGTCCAAGTTGACTTATTGAGCTTTGTGGCTGTGTGTGGATCTGAACTTGGCTCTCCAAGACCTAGGGATTCTTAGCCACTGGATTGCCTCTTACAAGGGTCAAGTGAACTGCAAGCCATGGCACTGCAGAGTGCTGTATACACTCCTGCTGCATACAGGCTCCTGCTCTTCTGCAGCTTTGCTGCTGGTATTGATTGTTCTCCCACTTGGGGGAGCTGCTGCTGCAGGAATCTCTTGCTAATAAACTCCAGGGACTCTACCCTCTTGCCTGCTCTCTAAATCAACCTACGGTAATTTTGATTTGATTTGTCTAACACACACACATACACACAAAACATAAGGAAGGACACATCAATGACCAACTCGTGCAGACAGAGCACTGTCAGTGGCCAGAGCAGAGGAAGGGAGGAGATTTGCACCAGTGGATCCTGCAAAAACAGAAACAAACAACAACAAAAGTCAACAGCAAAGTAATTAAAAAGAAGAAGAAAAACAGCCAGCAGGGCTCGTACTTTTCATAGCATCATAGAATTGTAGAGTTGGAAGGGATCGTGCAGGTCATCTAGTCCAACCCTCTGCAATGCAGGAATGTCAGCTGTTGTTCTCTTGTGAAACTGATGTTGCATATGGAATCAAAACTTACTATGCTTGTGTCCAGTGCTTTGGTCAAAAGTGTGGCCAGCTTCAAAGGGTGGGCTGTACAGATGGAGACTAACAGCAGTTTCCATATGGCTTGGGTGCCATGGTGCAAGGCAATTCAGCCATTACTATAGGTACATTGGTTTCTCTTCAAAACCCTTTCTGATTTCTTCAGCATCTGTCCAGTTCCCTTTTTGCCAGGCCACTTCAACAGTGTCTCTTTTACATTTCCTTAAAGTATCCTCATAAAACAGTGAAAATCCGGATGATCATGGACATAGGCGTAGCCAGGATTTTTGTTGGGGGGGACAGAAACTCAGTTTGCTATGTATTTTTATTGATTTTTATTGATTTAGGGGGAGGGCAGCTGCCCCCCTACTCACCCGTAGCTACGCCCATGATCATGGATGTTGCTGCCATGGCCTCCACCCCAGCATAAGATGATCAAAGTTACTACAGTGCCCCTTGTGCAAAGCCTTTATCGCTTTTGCAGTAGATCTCAGTTTTAAGATAAATAAATAAATGCACCCCCCTAAAAAAACCACAACCCTGTTTTTCCTCATTTTAATGTAAGATAACTGTCGTGACTGCTGAAAGGAGCAGAAAAACGCAGCCCAAATACAGTCTACCAAACTTCACCCACTGTTGTGTGACGGCCAGCGGCAAAATAACAATGAATATTATAAATGAAGAAGCTGGAATGTGGGGAAGCTAACTTGTCAAATGCTTACACAGAAAAATCAGATCTGAATGACCCACCATTTGTGGAAGCCGCCTCTGTTCACTATGACTTGCCCTGTCTAAGTGGTTCTTTCTGTAGTTTACAGGAAAAAATATTTGCTCAGCCAACAGATCAGTGCTTCCCCTGCCCCCAGCCAACAAGATCAATGCTTCAAAAGCTCATGGTAACAGTTTTTTGCTACCAGGTAATTTTAAATGATATGCCTGTACTCTCTGTAAAACAGTGTATAAAATAAGAAAGTACAAAATGTGCTTTTCGGCTGATAAGACAAATATATTATAAAGTAGGATCCTTGCAAATATATACAAAGTAGTTTTGTACCTTTGCCCAGTACGTATCCTAATGCAGCCATATTAATCCTTTGCAGCCATATAAACTCTTTGTATCTCACTTATAGACAAAAAGCCTTTTTCCCATATGAGGCTACATTTCAGGAAATTAGTAAATTTTGCCCCATTTCATATTCTCAGATTATGTGATGCCCATCTAATGTATCATTTGTAAGGATATGTTGTATTATTTTTTTAAGATTGCAAATATGACAGAAAAAAATATGTAACATCAGCTGACATAAGTGATAAGATTAACAAAAAATATTTCTTAAAGGTATAGCTTAGTATAGGAACTCCATGTGTCCAAACAGGTATCTAAATGAGAAAGCAATGCATTTGAATGCATAAAAACCAGTGAGATCTTCAGACCACTTAGTAGGAGATGGTGGGTGTTTATCCTTCAAGTCTTGTAGTAGAAGCATCTTTGGAACCATAACGGCTTGCTGGATTCACTTTTGTTGTTCATCAGTCCCCACACCACAAAAATATAATTAGAGAGTGTGTGGATATCTGCAAACACCAAGGATTTTGCAAAAGCAAAGTTAATTTCTGACCAGAAAGAAGACACCATAGGGCATGGCCACATCATATGCCTCAAAGTGGCTTTTTCAGCATTACATTTTATAGTTATTTTGAACTACAATCTGTTCCCAAAATAATACAGTGGTACCTCTGGTTGTGAATGGGATCCATTCTGGAGGCCCGTTCGCAACATGAGCAGAATGCAACCCATGTCTGCTCGTGTGCGGGTCGCGATTCCCCGCTTCTTCACATGCACGTGACGTCATTTTGTACGTCTGCGCATGCGCGAGCAGCAAAACCCAGAAGTAACCCTTTCCGGTACTT